GCATACTATAGTAACAGTGTGTGTACTATGCTGCCGCTTGCTATAGTAACAGTGCGTATACTATACTGCCGCTTACTATAGTAACAGTGCGTGTACTATGCTGCTGCTTACTATAGTAACAGTGTGTGTACTATGCTGCCGCTTACTATAGTAACAGTGTGTACTTTACCCAAGGTTGCCATAGTAACAGTGTGTGGCGGTGTGAGTGGGTGTGGCCCAAAGCTTCACCAAGGTCTGAGCTGGAACAATCGACGGAAACAGCCGGGCCGTTAATCTCACACACACACACACACACACACACACACACACACGCACACAGTTACAGCACACTGCCTTTAGTTGAAGAGCTGAAGTGAAAAAGCAAACAAAATCAGGAAGTCAGGTTACATTTGATCTGTAAAGGAGAGTTGAGGGATAAAGACACGTTACAGTATAAACACAGAGCATGAGAGAAGAGTGCAGATGGACTGAAACAGATATGAGTGAGAATATTCAGATGAAAAAGTTGTTATTAAATATAGTTATATTTACAGTATGTTTCAAAGCAGCTTTACGGAGAATTGCGGTGAGCAACACAAAGCTAAATGAAGGGGAAAACTCATCACTGAATCAACCTGAAGACATTCATTTATACCAACAAAATTATTTTTTTTATGGGTTGCATATTTTTTAAGGTAATAATTGCAGGCTGACATTTTTACAGTGTACACATTACTGTAAAAGTGTATAACAGTACTATTTTTTTGGTATTTACCATTTACATACAATTGAAAATAATACTATTGATATTTTTTGTTTTATTCGTTTATTAATTTTATGCCAGCAAAACAATTATTACTTTAAAAAAAACGTACTGATAATAATGAGCTTCTTCGTGAGGAGGTCACGGTCAAACTACCTGGCGCGTGACACACACACACACACACACACACACACACCCACACTCATACGCACGCACGCACGCCGTGACGTCACGCGATGATGAGGGCCTCAGCACCATCTGTCTGTCAGACAATAGCGGCTCCTGCTTCAGTGTGTCCGCGACATCATCAGCGATATTAACGATCATAACGCATCAGAGCGACACGGGACTCGACTCACAGGTCAGATCACAGTCACTATTTCTGCTTCGTAAATGTCATGTATTTGTAATACTAGCGCTTTTTGCCGCTGCCGGTGGCGGTTGCTATGGGCAGGAGACCTGTTGCTATGGAGCGCGCTCTATCAATACAACATTGTCTTTGTCCGGCTGCAGACAATAAACATGAAAATCTGCATGATGCAGCGATGCATGCGAGTCTGACTGCTGCAGCTCTGCTGCTCGAGGCCTTCTCTTTCATACCTTGCCAGATTTGATGCAGTTCTGTTGCATTTGTTTCTCCTACAATTCCTTTGAAGAAACAGACACAAATGTATCAGTGTGTATCTCGTCAAATCTGACAGATGCAGGAAAGACTTTCTTTTTAATTTCATTGATTTCATCATTAGCAGATGGATTTTGGTGATTGTGTGGACGGTCTGTCTGAGCCTATAGAGCCTGAACGCTGCAGAACATGAAGCTCATGTGGGCAGAGAACAATTACATAAATCTACTTCTTTATCAGAATGTGCAAATGATGAGAAGAACAGATTCCCCCAAGATCAAACCATCTGAGCTGCTCTCCACGCTCATGTAGAGGAATTATACCAGAAACACCAGACAAAATAGATACTTGAATGAAAGTGACAACACCATTACGCCTGCAGAAATATAGAAGAAAAACATTTGAGTAATGTTTTCTTGTAGGATCATACACTGTAAAAATGATTTTGAAGGTGTAAATAAAAAACGAAGAAAAAAAGGGACAAAAGCTACCAATGAGACGGTACCCTTTCAAAAGGAACACCCCCTAAAAGCTGCATTTTAGCATCTTAAAGGTATCTAAATGGTACATAATAGTTCCTTTAGAAAGGATACCATCCCAGTGACAGCTTTTGTACCTTTTTCTGAGAGCGTAAGATTGAGTGTGGTTTAACAAGAAAACACTTTGCAATCTACTTAAAAATGTCACATTTAATTAAGTGTTACTTGCCATTTTTTTGTAATCATTTGTGAAGTTAACTAGCAATTTCTGATTTGTTGTTTTTTTTTCAGTATAGAATGAGGTATAAAAGGATAAAACTGTAATATCTCAGATGTCAGGTGTGTTTGAGAGTGTTTGTCCAGTGAGAGTCCAGAGGTCTCCGGATCATCCCGCATTAATCTGCTGGTCAGGGAACAGTGACCGCTGCTGTTTGTGCTCATGTCGTCATGATGTGTGTCAGTCTGTCATGTCTGGATCATTTTAACTAACTGCTGAGCTGCAGAGAATCTAGTTATTCTGAACTAGACATTCAATCGTTGCAAAGCAGCTTTACAGAAAATTAAAGTTTCTACATTATAATGAAAGTTTCTACATTATATTAGTAATAGCTTATCAGTGGTGACGATCTCAAGTTGATGTCCATATGGCAGAAATGTACGGTAAAAATCAAGCAGTTAGTTAAAGTCATGTAATCAGACAGAAGGTGAAGACTATTAACAGCAATGATTATATGTTGCGATCAAACTTATAGCAAAATGTGGTAGTTTTGTATGTTGTGTGAGGGGTTGGCATCATCTCTTCTCAGGTGTTCTGGATCCAGACTGAAGCTTGTGTAATTCCTAGTTACAAACAGAGAAGGAAATAGAGAAAAAATTGCGTAGCTGCTGTTCCAACTAAGCAAAAAATGATGTGTTCAACCCAAGCAAAAGAATAATAATGTGCATTTGATCAGATGTAACTGAAGTACAGGGTTATGAGATGCATTATTTGAATGCTTGGCTAAAGAGATGTGTCTTTAATCTAGATTTAAACAGAGAGAGTGTGTCTGAACCCCGAACGTTATCAGGAAGGCTATTCCAGAGTTTGGGAGACAAATGCGATAAAGCTCTACCTCCTTTAGTGGACTTTGCTATCCTAGGTACTACCAAAAGTCCAGAGTTTTGCGACCTTAGGTAACATGTTTCGTAGCTTGGCAATGTTTCTAAGATGGAAGAATGCTGTTTTTGTAACATGGGAAATATGATTTTCAAAAGACAAGTTGCTATCAAATATAACACCCAGATTTTTGACTGTAGAGGAACTAACAGTACATCCGTCTAGTTGCAAATTGTAATCTACAAGGTTCTGTGTACTGTTTTTTGGTCCTCCCTTGAATACCTGTGTAGTTTTGTAATCGATCTATGAGTATGTCAGGATCTATAGTGTCGAGATCAAGTAAAACTAGCAATGAGATACAGCCTTGGTCTGACGCAAGAAGTCATTGACAAGATGCAAGTCAGCAAGACATGAACACATACACACACATGCTGAATTGTTAAATATTTGATGAATGCTTTCAGCTACTAATATGAGTGTAATGCTCAACACATTTGGCAGTATTTGCGTCCATCTCTCATATTTTCCTCTCAGATTCAGTGGAGAGCTGCCGATGAGTCACTAACTAGCTGCAATAAAGTAGTTTAGTCAGTTATTTGCCATCTGTGGGCTGTTTTTTGTCCGTCGCAGCAGGCGTCAGTCTCTCTGAAGCGGCTTTCACACGAGAGTCTGAATCTGGAGAAACTGCCAAACAGAAGATCAGCACAATCTCAGTCTGTGTGTGTGTGTGTGTGTGTGTGTGTGTGTCTCTCACATGCCACGCTGATAATTGGCTTCAGACTCTGGCCAATCTCTGCTGCTGTAAGACGGATGAGACGCTCGCTCACCTTAACAAACTCAGACAATATCAAGTCGACACAGATGTTTTTAAACAGGAATCAAATTCCTAATGATTGTGGTAAATACTAGCGCTTCAGATCATGTACAACATGATTCGAATATTTGGAAAATGAATAGAAACTATTTGCAGCACAGAAAAGGGAAAATAAAAATGAAAGTATTAAAGAGAAGCATTGTTCAGTAAATATTTACATACGCTACCATTCAAAAGTTTGGTATGATTTTATGAGGAGTCTCTTCTCAACAAGACTGCATTTATTTGACCAAATTACAGTAAAAATTTTGAAATATTATTACAATGTAAAATAGCTTTTTTCTTTGTGAATATCTGTAAAATTTTAATTTATTTCTGTGATGCGCAGCTGTATTTTCAGCATCATTACTCCAGTCTTCAGTGTCACATGATCTTCAGAAATCATTCTAATATGCTGATTTGCTGCTCGACATTTCTGATTATCATCGATGTTGAAAACAGTTCAATATTTTTGTGGAAACCGTGATACATTTTTATTTTTCAGGATTCACAGATGAATAGAAAGTTCAAAAGAACAGCATTTATTTGAAATAGAAATCTTTTGGAACATTATAAATGGCTTCACTGTCACTTTTGATCAATTTAATGCATCCTTGATGAATAGAAGTATTTAACTTAATGACCCAAACGTTTGAACTGTAGTGTTTGATACTCATCAGTGTGTTTTCATGCTGCGCTCAACTCTCGTCAGAATGATTGATTATGTTTCTGAGACGAGCGACAGAAACCACCACAATATTTTCCAGTGGGAAACGCAGGATTTCTAATGCTTTTGACCTGTTACGTATCCTATTTTGTCACACAGTGAAGAAACGGTTCGTCTGATTAGTTGACGTATAAGTGTGTCACAAGTCTGTTAATCCCCGCAAACTATTTCTTCAAACAAATAGAAGATTGTGCAAATCCAAGCGATCAGATTATGATCCTGAGCTGTGAACGACTCTGTTTGAGCTCATTTGTGTCCATGGAGCAGCAACAGTTGATTTTGGAGATCTTTCTGTTTAGTTTGATTCAGGAAGTACTGGTTTTAGGCTGGAAACAGCTAGTTTTGATTGCCTAAACCACTACGGCAGTTTATCTTGAGGTTTATCAGTGCTTGGTTGAAGTTTGGGAAGTGAAGCTAGTTAAAAAGCGAGATATTCCCCCACATCTCGTCCTCCGCTTCCCGTGTTGTGGCATTGGTCCGCTCTTCCTGTAGCAGGATGCTGGGCTGCGCTGGTGTTCCTGTGCGGAGCGTTCTGGCTCTCATGTGTTTACACGCCGAGGAGCTCGCAGGCGCTCGACGCAGTCCGCTGCTGATTCCTGCTCTCCGCGGGACCAGCGGCTCCAAGAACCAGAACCAGAGCAGGATGCCGTGGGGAAGAAACGCGGGTCAGTCACGGCTGCTGGGCAAAAAGGCTGGACACGCTCCTGTCAGGTATGAGCGGCGGAGAACACGGGTGATGTGGAAAAAGACTAAATCATTTGACCAATTGTGACCCTGGACCACAAAACCAGTCATAAGGGTCATTTTTATGAAATTGAGATTCATGCATCATCTGAAAGCTGAATAATGAGCTTTCCATTGATGTATGGTTTGTTAGGATAGGACAATATTTGGCCGAGATACAACTATTTGAAAATCTGGAATCTGAGGGTGCAAAAAAAATCTAAATATTGAGAAAATCATCTTTAAAGTTGTTCAAATTAAGTTCTTAGCAATGCATATTACTAATCAAAAATTAAGTTTTGATATATTTATGGTAGGAAATGTACAAAATATCTTCATGGAACATGATCTTTACTTAATATCCTAATGATTTTTGGCATAAAAGAAAAATGGATAATTTTGACCCGTACAATGTATTGTTGGCTATTGCTACAAATATACCCCAGCGACTTATGACTGGTCACACAGCGTCAAACACTACAACTTCGATTTTTTAACATTGAACTAGTTGACTTAAAAACGTAATCACAATATGATTCTTTATTAAGAAAGTTCTGTTCCAAGTGCAGCACTTGGATGTAAATGTAAAACACCTGTTATATATCTTTACTGAAAAGATGCATGAAATATGAAGGCAAATACTGTCTTAAACATGTTATGTTCAGAAATAATGTAAAGTAAGAAAAATGCGAAATATTTCATTGATAAAATATAGACATTCGGGTTTAGAAGTCAACTCAAAAATTCAAGGCAGTTTAAATTCAAAATGACAAAGTATAACAGCAGTAGTCTATTATTAACAGTAAATGCTTTGTAAAAATGTTATGCAAGCATGCAATATTAAATATTAATTGTTATCATTGGTGTATTGACAATGTGTCTCATTTTAACGTTTGCTAATATTTTTATTCAAAACTCTGATTCCTCGATTAAAAAATAAATGAAATTCATTCATTCCAATGAATCAATAAAATCTGAAACAATCACCCAGCCCTAACTAAACACCAGTCTACTAGTTAACCTGATTATCACACTGTTACTAACATCTGGGCATGAAATGAGAGTCTGACCGAAGCTCTAAATTCGGCTTTGGAAACTAGTTAAACGCTACAGAAATTATGTAAGAATAGTAAGATTATGGATCGAATGCTGCATGACTCTTGCGTAACGAGTAACCTGGTTGGCGGTTCACATTACTTAACTGTTGAACCCTGCAAACTATAAGAAGCTTTCCGAGTGCAATCTGGATTAAGACTGAAAGCAAGACACTGTCAGTGAATGTGAAGCAGATTAGAGGCGATCTGTCTGTCGAGACTGAGGAGAAACTAAAGCTAACGATGCTGCTAACTTTCTCACTCGCGTGACGTTTTAGATGCTCAGATGTTCCCAAATAGTGCAGCTTTTCCAATCACAAGCTACTGTACTTTTACAACAGTGTGGTTTTGTGTTACAGAGCTATTTTGTGGGTTTTCTATTTTCAAATTCTATTTGAAAACATCGTAATATTTTAAGATAATCAAAACCAGCACTGTGCAAAGCCATGCAGTGTCTGTGTGTGGACCGAATAATTTCAGTGAATTTAGTGTTTCATATAAATGCATTGGTTCATGAATTCACCGGGTGATTCACAGATTCATTTGCTGCATGTCGTCTTTGTACTCAAATATTTTGTGCGTGTTAGTATGTCATTATGTTATATTCATTGGGATATTTGTGTTTAGTGTAAATGTATCAGTCGCAATGTCGTGACTGTAGTCACTCCAGATGGTATTTTTTGTGCTGTGATTCTAAAAATAAATATCATTAAGAACATAATGTCTATAATGCATGAAGTAGCTATATAAATGTTTTAGATTAGGTTGTTTTGGAGCCGACTGCCTTTATCTTGACTGTAGTTTGTATATAATAGTAGTGTAACCTTTAGCGTTTGTTCTATGCTTTTGTTCTCTCGCTCTATAAAAGTCAGCTTATTGTGGCATGTCGTATGAACAACAATGAA